GCTAACACAATATATACACAGGTAAAGGGGACACAGTTGGAAACAATCAGGGCGGGGAAAATAATCAAGGACGCAGGAGACAGAAAAGGGGCGGGGAGCGTGGAGGCCTGAAATGAGAGGAAGAAATAATTAAGGGTATAGACATAAAGCACAAGACAAAGGGACATGACAACTCTAACATAAAGAATACACTTTCACTATAAGTTTCTTGGACATGACAGTCTGCTCTGACCCTTCTTGTACAGAGCGGCAGAATTGTCAGTCCAGTCCAGTTTATTGTTCAGATGAACACCCAGGTATTTGTAAGATTCCACAATCTCAATGTCTGCTCCCTGGATGTTCACTGGTGTCGGGGGGGGGGAGTGTTGGCGCCGCCTGAAATCCACCACCAGCTCCTTGGTCTTCGCTGCGTTCAGCTGGAGGTGGTTCCTCTGGCACCAGAGGGTGAAGTCCTGCGTCAGTTCCCTGTACTCCCTGTCATCCTCGTTGATGATGAGGCCAACAATGGCGGAGTCGTCAGAGAACTTCTGCAGGTGGCAGGTAGCGGTGTTGTGGGTGAAGTCTGCAGTGTAGAGGGTGAAGAGAAACGGTCCCAGCACCGTCCCTTGGGGGGCCCCCGTACTGCTGATGATGGTGTCTGATTGACACTCCCTGGTCCTCACGTGCTGTGGACAGTTGGTGAGGTAGTCCAGGATCCAGGAGGTGAGGTGGTGATCCACCCCGAGAGCTGCAGCTTGTCCCCCAGGAGTGGGGGCTGGATGGTGTTGAAGGCACTGGAGGAATCAAAGAACATGATCCTCACAGTGCCCCCAGCATTCTGCAGGTGGGAGAGGGACCTCTGCAGCAGGTAGATAACGGCGTCATCCACCCCGATGGCAGGCTGGTGGGCGAACTGCAGCGGGTCCATTGATGGTCTCACAAGGGGCCGGAGGTGTCCAAGGACCAGCCTCTCCAGGGTCTTCCTCAGCTGTGATGTCAGCGCCACCGGCCGGTAGCTGTTGAATTCCTTGGAGTGAGGGGTCTTTGGCAAAGGTATCACACAGGACGTCTTCCACAGTTGTGGTACCCTCCCTTGCTTCAGGCTCAGGTTGAACAGAAGCTCCACAATCCCACACAGCTGATCCGCACAGGATTGGAGGAGCCTCGAGCTCTGGACCCGCCGCCTTCCTCGCCTTACACTTCTGCAGCTCCCTCCTCACCTGGTAGGTGGAGAAGAACCGGGGGTTGATGTGAGAAGTGTCTGTGAGCTGATGGCCGGGGGCTGAGTAGAGGTGGGAGAGGTAACAGGGCCATTTCCAGGCAGTGGAGACAATGGGGGGTGCAGCAGGGGGGAACGGCACGTCAGAGTTGCTGTGCCCTGTGGGTGCCCTAAGGGCGTATATCGATGCTACTGCCTGTATACGGCAGTCGGAGCAGATCTTCGTTTGCCATGGCGGCACTAAAAGCGGCTGCCCCACTGGGGCATGCCTATGGGGCCAGTGGCCGCCCCCTGCCATCAGGGCTGAGATGCCTCAAATCAAATCAAGTTTTATTTATATAGCACACTTTTTAAACGATTTTTGGTCGAGCCAAAGTGCCAGGCCAGGGAGAAGAACTGAGTCTTTAGCGTAGATTTAAAACCCCCTAGGGTCTGGGCCGACCTCACATGGAGGGGCAGAGTGTTCCAGAGCCTGGGACCAGCTGCTGCGAAGGCTCGGTGCCCTCGGGTTTAGAGCCTGGTCTTGGGCGCTACCAGCAGCAGCTGGTCAGCAGACCTTAAGGCTCTGGGGTGTAGCGATGGAGGAGTTCAGCTACATAGGAGGAGCCAGCCCATTTAGGGCTTTGAAAACAAATAAAAGGATTTTAAAATCAGTTCTGAACCGAACTGGAAGCCGGTGCAGTGAGGCCAGAGCTGGGGTGATGTGGTCACGCTTTTTGTGGCCAGTGAGAAGACGTGCAGCTGCGTTCTGCACTAGCTGCAGGCATTTCATTGACGCCTGGTCCGTACCCACATACAGAGCATCCCCATCTGTGAAGTAACTAAAGGTATTAAATACATGTAGTGGAGGAAAAGTACACCATTCACCTCTGAACTGTAGTGGAGTAGAAGTACAAAGTTTAAAAACATTGAAATACTCAGGTAAAGTACAAGTATCTCAAAATTGTACTAAAGTATTCCATTAAATGTACTTAGTTACTTTACACCACTGCTTGTAACGGAGTATTTTTTACCGTGTGCTATTTCTACATGACCTCCTTTGATAAAAAGAAGGCTCAGTGAGCAGAAGTGAAATGTATCACAGTCTGACATCTAGTGGTGGAAAAATGCATTACATTTTATTTATTAGGGATCTTTCGACGAACAGAATCATTTAATATTCTATAATGATAAAAAACCATTCTGCAAGATAATAACTTTTATTTTGATGTCAATAAAACTCCTCTACATGTATTTAATCCTTTAGTACTCAAGTACAAGATCTGAGTACTTCTACTTTTACTCAAGTACAAGATCTGAGTACTTCTACTTTTACTCAAGTACAAGATCTGAGTACTTTTATCTTTACTCAATATTATTACATTATAATATTATAAAGCCTAATGCACTCTGACGTCATGGAGGGGTATCCACGGCAACGGCAGCCGAGGCTCATGGGAAATGTAGTATCACGTTTCAACACACGCATGGAGGGTAAAAAGGGTCGACACTAATGTCATATCATTTAATACATAATTATCTAATTTATACCACAAATATTGAAATCGCAAAAAAAAATGTATTGATTCAATTCTTTTTGCAGGTATTTAAAGGGGACCTATCGTGCAAAATGCACTTTTGTACGTCTTTTCTACATGAATATGTGTCCCC